TACTATTCTTATTTTTTAAATGAAGGAAGGAGAAGCATTGCCTTCAACGAGTGGTGGGACAATAATGTTGCGATGTGCCCCACTACCGTTTGAAAGTACTGTTGCTTCCATCTTGAGTAGAGAAAAGCATGATATCAAGCGAAAGCCAAGGAAAGACGCCCTTGGCTGAATTACGAATGCATGCTCCACCACTTTGCTCGGCTTGCTGAATGCCCAGTGCTGTCTTATCCTTTCAAAATTATAGGCTCCTGGAGCGACAGTTTTGAGGGTGTCTTCCTTTGTCGGCACATGACTCAAGCGCAGTGGGGGTGTGGACGGCGCCACCGACACTAAAGTGCAACATCGTGAGACCAAGAAATGCTCCGCATTTAGAACTTAAGTTCTGGTCATTGAAGTGCCACAGCCAACATGAAATGCAAGAAAATTTAGATGCACTCGCGGGGCCATCGCTAGGCAATGAAGTGAATTTTCTTTATTAGGATATGAATCATACAGCCCTAGCCTCAGCGACCAACTCTGCGCCGTCCATCAGGCCCGCCAGGCAGTGGTGAGGCAAGGCCTTGACGTTCCCACGCGGGAGACCTAAGGCCGGTCAACGAAACCTCTGCCGGACTACAAATAAAGTTGTTACCAACTAAAATAAATATTACATGGGCACTCAACAGGTTTTCGCTGTCGCGTAAACTACAAGTTTGTAACAATCCCTGCGCATTGTACGTTCTACCCGCCTGTAAAATTGCACAAGCTGGGGTGATGAGCACTGCTGAAACAGAGATTAAACAAGGCAAGGCGGCTGATCTCTGCCATTGATGGCATCCCACTACATGTTAGACCTGCCGTCGAATGCTCAAGCAGAAGGAAACGCGCCTGTCTTGAATGCCTGAAAAGACAGGGGGGAGCCCCTTGAGCAGCACCCATGAACTTTGACTGTAAGGACATGGTTTGGATAGCTGGGGCACGCTCTATAGGCAAGCATCGGCGCTGGCTTCTAAACAGATCTACGTGGTGCTCTCTCAACGGGAAGAGATTGTGCATGGCATAAGAGCATTTATTCCTGGAAATGCCACACGTATTGCCTTACAACAGCATTTTGTACAGTGTCGCGATGTCGGATCCAAAAGAGTTAGCTGTCAGCCTTCGAATTGTCACTGGGTCGTGATCTTGACATAGGCATCAGTCACTGTTTTCATAAGTCGACTTTTTATTTGGGCGAATTTGTGCTCGGAAAGCGAAACATCACTTTACAAGCAATGTACGCTGTAGAGTGAACATACAGCGTCAGCGGTCGATAATTTGCCAAGAAGCGAAGTGCGCAGGTATTTATACATGTACCATGGAAGATTCCAGCGTTATTCCTAACGGCCATGTATTTTCCAGAACACACTAATGTAGCGCTGTGTGCGTAATCTCATTAGAAGGTTAAAAATTATCTAGATGGTTCCCAGTCATTCGGCCATGGTTTGCACAAGGCAGCGTTACACGCGTAATGGTGCGGTAAGAAAAATAGGGGAAAAAAAAAAAAAAAACACGCGCTGCATTACCATTAGAACAGTACAAATTGTTGCTATTGCAATCATCGCTTCGCCAGTGAAACCGTCAGTTTATATGGTTCGTCAGTTTATAAGGTTGGACGGTCTCCATTGCAGAGCGTGTGCTGTGCTCAGCGGTTGCTTGGCAACGGTGCGGAGAGTTGCCAACAGCTTTGCTGTTAAAACATATGTAGGCGCATAATGAGGTAGGCACACAAATGTCACCTTAGCCAGATTCATGCATTCTGTTCACGTGGCGGGTTGCGCGCTTTGTGTAGCCCATGTGTGTTGCTCCGTCGATGATAAAACACGACTGAATTTGGCGTTGCTTACGCAAATTGACGTTTTGGCACAGCACTTCCACCCCTGCTTGACCCTGTAGCCTAGTCATTCAAGAGCCATCTCTAAATTTCTCTTGAACCGTTTCTGATTTAGCAAGCCACAATTTAACCATATACAATAGACTCTCAGTAAACGGAAATCAGTTAAACGTAACTTCTGCTTAAACGGAAGAAATGACTCTGATATGTTTCGTTTTGGTCTTGTATTCTGCACCCTTTTTCATCTCTCAGTAAACGGAACTCCTGTTATGTGGAACATATTTTTCCGGGCCCTTCAGATTTCATTTGCTGAGAGTCTATTGTATTAGGGTGTTGTCGCTTCAATTCTTATTCTGTGCAGGTCTTGTACCCTAGTCAACCACACGTTGCATTTCCTTTGCAGTCAGCCAAGACTGATCGACAGTAGGTGCTTGTGTGCCAATTTTTGTCCTAGATTATTTTTCGATCTATCACTGTACCTTGATAAATACCGTATTTACTCGCATAATAGGCGCACTTTTTTTTTCAGAAAATCCGGCTCAAAGTTAGGGGTGCGCCAATTACGCAGGGTAAAATTTTCTAAAATTTTTTCAACTCGGTTCTCGCACTTGAAATCTGCACACTTGTCAAGTAAAAGGCGACTTTATCGTTTACCAATTAATTCAGCATAAAACAAACATACCTACGTACCTTTTAATGAACAAGCGAGAGCCGTCAACTGCACACACACACACGTAAAATTTATTTACACAAAAGTCGTAGCTGTTCCTCCTTTTCCCTATTCGGAGTCCGAGTCGGAGATCACACATTCATCCTCGCCGAGCGGGGATTCGTTTTCGGTGTCCGAATCATCCGCACCCCACAACATGTCATCCTCACTCGCATCCAGTGCGTTCGAGATACCCGTCTTCTTGAAGCTTTTCCTGACGACTTCGTCGGAGATCGCCTGCCACGCTTCCACGATCCAAGCGCACAGCATTTCCACAGGCGGCCTCATAATCTTACCACCTGGAGTCAGCTGATGTTGTCCTCCAGCCATCCAGGTGGTGTACAGCCTTCGAACATTGTCCTTGAAAGGTTTATTCAAGGACACGTCTAAAGGCTGCAGTATCGATGTGAGGCCGCCCGGAATCACTGCCAGATCTGTGCGCAGCTCCTTTAGCTCATTTCGTACGCGGTCTACTAGGTGCCCACGAAAACTGTCCGGGACAAGCATGGACGGCAACAACAGACCACCCGGCCGCCGACCCCAGACTGTTTTCACCCAATCCACCATGCTCATCCAGCCTTTTTCCTGGACTCTGACGTAGATGCCTTGAGGGAATTTTGCCTTTGGGAGCTTCTTACGTTTAAAAATAACGTAAGGCGGTAGCTTACGCCCATCCGCTGTCACCGCCAGCATTACGGTGCATCGTTGTTTATCAGCTCGAGACGTCCTGACGATGACGCTCCGTGCACCTTTCTCCTCCACAGTCGTGTTCCACGGCATATCAAAGCAAAGGGGGGTCTGATCAGCGTTGCCGATCTGGGACAAAATGAAGTCTTTCTGCTGTCAGAGCTTTATAACAAAACTGTGGAAGTCCACCACTTTGTCCTCATATGCTGCGGGCAAGCGCTGGCACAAGGTGGTCCGCCTTCGCAGTGCGAGGCCATGGCACCGCATGAAGCGAGTTGTCCATCCGGAGCTGGCTTTGAACTCTTTTGCTTCGATGCCCTGCGCTCGGGCTATTCTGCGCGCCTCAGTCTGCACAATATCCAACGACACAGCACAGCCGTCTTGTCGTAGCTCCCGTATATGCCGGACCAGTTGCTCTTCGACGTTCGGATACCTGCCGGTCTTGGCACCGCGGAAAGCCCGTCGTGTCTTCTTCGTCGCCTTAAGCTTTTCTTCTTGGTCCCTCCAGTACCGAATACTGGTTTCTCCAACGCCGAAATGCCTGCTTGCAGCCCGGTTGTCGTGCTCCAGCGCGTACTGCACTGCCTTCAGTTTAAACCCAGCCGTGTAGCTCGCGTACCTCCCCATGGTGGAACCAAAGTTCAATACACGACCACAACATACGCACACCGCTTGCAAAATGGCGTTTCTTTCTTTTTCTCTGATGGTGGTGATGGCGATCGAGCCCCCGGCGTTGTACACGTGACCTCCAAAAAGCGCGGCGATTTGGGGGGTATCAGTAATTGATGGAACAGCCGTTTTTTTTCCCCCCGCTCATGGACGCTTTTTTTTTTTCAAGTTTTATTTCGACAAACACGTTGGTTAGGTCGTTGCACGTCGAATTTTTTTTATTTGCTCGTCGATTTGCTTTCTTTTTTTCTTCAGGGTACGGGGACCGCGTTCCAACTGTACCGCTGGAGGGTAGAATCGTTTCTGATCACGGCCAAGTTCGGGGTGCGCCTATTATGCGAGTGCGCCGATTATGCGAGTAAATACGGCATTGTCACGGCCAAATTCGGGGTGCGCCTATTATGTGCGGAATTTAAAAAAATCGAATTTTCCGCGACCAAACTAGGGGTGCGCCTATTATGCGAGTGCGCCGATTATGCGAGTAAATACGGTATTGTCTTCCCCTTTTGTCTTCAACCTTCAACGTGAACCATTTGACCATGTTCCCAAGTACAAAATTACTCAGTGGCTCATCACTTGTCTGTCAACGATGGTTTTGCGCTGATAGACAGCAGTTGACAAGCTGTGGCACAGACTCCTAAGTAGTTAGTGAAGTATTTAACAAGCTGGTTACATTCAAGCATGAACTTCTTTGAGGAGCTCTGCATTGTCTTCCCGCCCACACACACGACACAAAAATTGCTTGCTCTCTCATTTAAGGTGTCACCCAAATAACGAATAGATCACTGCCGTGTCGTGTGTGCCCAAACAAGAGATGCCACAATACGCCTATCCAACTTGTCATGTCATTCAGCCAGAGTGCATTTGGCAATAAAAGCGTTCATTCTGCCAACAACTCCACTTTTATTTAGTAAATGAAATTGATAAATTCATGACACGCACAAAGCAACACAGTCAAACAGGAAAGAAAAGAAGTGTTCAGCTATTTATGAACCATGGTGCTCAGGCATTGCGTTTTGATGAGGTGCAAGACAGTTTGGCGGAAGAGACTGCCCGAGCAAAGTGATGTTTGGAAAAGCAACTCACCCGTGGGATTTGGCGTCCGGACTTCTTCATCTCTTCCCGGTACCACTGTGTGAAGGTGATGTAGGCCGTGGTGGCACGCTTGGGTGCGGGCACACCGTCCTTGTTGACCTTCGGCTTCTTGTGCTTGAGCTTGCCGCCCACGGCAGCGGCACCCATGTGGCCCATGTATCCCACGTGGTGATGATGCTGGTGCTGGTGGTGCAGTGCAGCAGCTTGCTGGTGTGCTGCGGGCGCGTTGCCGTGCTGGTGCTGCAGGTGTTGGTGGTGGTGGTGGTGATGGTGGTGAAGAGCAGCCGCTGAAGCCCCGCCTCCACCCCCTGAAGAGGCGGACGACGAAGTGGAGTTGGCACTTGCCGTCAGCTGCGACATCTGGAGGCCCGCGGCAGCCGCCATGTTAGCAGCCATGTTTGCGGCCGAGCCCATGGACAGGTTGAGCCCCGTGGGCAGCATGGGCAGCTGCGCCATGGCTGGGTGCAGCTGGCCTCCTCCCGCGGCCGACACCACCGCTGCGTGCTGTGCCATCGCGTGGTGGTAGTCGTAGTCCGCTGGGCCGACGATGAAACCTTGGTTAGCTGCCACACTCAGAGACATGCACACCATCCACCACATTCCTCGCCTCAACAAGCAAGACAATTCACCTTTTTTCGAGTATAGCTCGCTGTTCTGGCGCCAATCATCAAGCTGCTGCCCAAAGTACTTCCCGCGACTTCCAGCTGGGTGTACAAATGACAGGGTTGGAAACACGCATGACGTCACACACAAGCAATTCACCCAGCCACAACACAGGGACAGAGACAGGCGCTCTCTCTCATACTGAGTGAAAAAAAAAAAAAGTAAGCTGTGCTGCATGCTTTTTTGCAGAAAGCATTTGCTATGACTAGAGGCATATCTGCAAAGCTCACATAAAACACAGAGCGTGACCATTTGAGCTAACTTGGCGATGCAAGGCAACACTGTTTTTATAGGACAGCATAATTTGGTTTTTGCAATTTGAAATATTGAAGCCTGTTCCATTTTGCTCTGAAATCATTATGAAATGTTAACATCCCCCTTGCACACAAAGTATGTACTTTCAAGAGCAAAACTTTTTGGAATGCCAAGTGTTTCATAAAAATAAATTCATAACTTTTCTGTAAACGTAACCCCCAAATAAAGGTCACATACTGCACTTTGTATTGCAATCTATACAGTCACCAGCCTTTTGCAAGCATTAAGCCCTGATATAGCAGAAATTCGAATTGATGTGGATCTAACGTCTCGCAAACTTTTGTCGTTGGGTGTACCTCTGCAAAAGAGCTCGTACAAAGAATGAGTGTTATGATTGTTTTGCAACACTGCTTGAGTAAGCTCTACCTCAGCATGAGACGTAACATGCAATGATACATGAAAATGATGCTTGCACAGCCAGCATGGAAGACTCTACAGCGAAAGGCCCGAATAACTGAAACTGTACTATAAATGATTGCGGCCTAATTTTCTTGCCCTTTTCACCAGCATAAGCACACCTTCAATAAAATTCAGATTCATTTTGTACACTTAGTTATGATACTATTACAATGCCTTCCTTCTGAGTGCTATGTCATCCCAAACATCTGTGTATGAAGTGGGAGTACATATTGCTGGGCCACCGGATACACCACTAGTTAACAAGAGGATTTATTCAGGTTTTGATGGACAAAACTCAGATTTTAGTTTTAAATGTTTAAAAATGCTTCCTAAGCACTATGGACAGTTTACGACATCAACACAGCTGCGTGGCCATTCTGCACATTAGCCAGGTAATGCTCTCCTGCTCTTTCATTCTTCTGTCTTTGGCAAAAATGCAAAGGTGATGCCACACGATGCTGTCACTTTCTCTGAATGCTAAAGCAAGTAAAGCAGAAGGGAACGCTTAAAGTTAAGTCTTCTTTTTCTCCCTTACAACGACTATCACATCAATGAATACTACTTTCGACTACCCAGAATAATTAGGCCTTGGTTTTAAACACTGATAGACATTGAAGTGGATACAAATTGGAATCATGCTATGAGCAGTTATTCAGGAAATTTCAATATACAATTGATGACTGTATAAACAAAAAAGAGCGATAAAACACTTATTGAGAGCTAACCACCCTGTATTAGCTTCCCGATTCATAGTATTAATTCAAACTTCTTACTTTCAGGATCTAGGTGCCCAAGAGCAATAGACAATTATTGAGCAGGTGACTACTACCGATATCAACTGAGCATCAGTAATTACACTTGGCTACTTGCTAGATAGAAATAGAAGAAGAAAAAGTAGCTCAAATGCTGCACGCGGATTCAAGTCAGCAGGAGACAAGCCATCGGGATGTGCAAGGTGGACCAACAAGTGTAAAATTCAATGAATGATAGGACAAGTCTTTTCCTTAATCTCTCTCACGAAAGATGCAGCATAATCGTAATAAGGTAGCCAATGTTCTGTGTCAATCAGAGTCTGACTACGTTCACGGTGAGGTTTAGGGTTCCGTGCAGGTGACACAATGCAGGCTACATGCCCTCATGCTGGCATATAGCTCGTAATGATGGCAGGCTGCGAAGTGTATGCTTATCTACCATAGAAGTCGGGCCACACAGCCAGTCGACGGTAGTTGTCAAGAAATTCGAGGCTTTTCAAGGAAAGACCAAAAAGCATTGCAGGACTTTCAAAAGCCTTCCCTCGGAATATTCTTTTAGGCCTTGGTACAAATGCTCTTTACTTATTCGACTGTACTGAACTGACGTTCATTCAAGGGAGTTTCATGCGCAGGAACAAGTCTGGGGGAGCCACAGCCAGATTGTAGGGCAGCCTCTTTGAACTGGGCAGGAAGAGAGTTAGGAGTAGGCATGGTGAAACTTACAATCACCCGCAACGTTAGGCCTGGAGCAAGGAAATCCTTCATTTGCGTCTCTTGAGCCTTTCACATTGAAATCAGCATTGAGGGTTGCATAGCATGGTACAAATGCTTAGCGAATAAGTCCCCTGATGCCAAACACATTTAACTGGGAGGCTTTGCACGCGTTGATAGGGAACAAAATTCAAGGCAGTCAGTGGTGGTTCAGCTAGTTTATTATTTTGGAGATTGAGAAAGCCTGCTCTGAAGCTCATTTGGAGCAGGAGATGTGCTTTGGAGCAAGTTCAAAGCAGCAAAAACGAGATTTAGGATGACTTGACGCAGCACATGCCAAAATTTTCAGTGAATTTTCCCAGTTGTGTGCATTCTAGAAATTGTGCTGGTGTGCAAACAAGGAGACAAAGCCAACATGCAGAGAGCAGCTGTTGGTCAAGTTCTTAGCACGAGTCACATTCTGGCTTCACTGCACAGCAAGAGGTGTGCACTGAAGTGAAGCACTTGTGACGAGGCAAGCATGGCGCATCTTGCGAAAAACAGGCGTTGTAAACGAAAACAAAATCCCAACGGTAACATATAATCACCAGTCTAAAAATCAAAGAAGAAAGAAGATGAAAACCTGCTGCCAATTTTTGGAATTGCCAGTGCAGTTAGTGGACTCAATATTTGACACAACTAACTATGACGACGCTCCATTGCACTCAATAATAGGCTTGAGCGTCAAGTGGCATCCTTTTTCCTTTCTGGAACTTTTGGTTTTCGAAATATTCAGCAAAATCGCCTGAAAAATCAACTACTGGTACAAAGTAAACTGGTATGAAAGAGCCAGTGTTAGTGATCATACAAAGAATAACAAGGGGGGGGGGGGAGGGGTCAAGAAACCCTTCTGCTCGAGGACAAGTCCGCTTTTAAAAACGGTGGCATTAGCGACAACCCATGTTGTCGTGAATGCTTATACCTTAATATTGGACGCGAGGCCTACCACTGGAGGAGCCGGCACAACAATCCCATTGATGTGCAGAGTTGGATCACGTGATCGTACCTCGCTCTGGCGAAGGAAAGCTGGCAGTTGGATGCGTTGTTTTTAACTGCGACTTCATGGTGTTTTCACTTTTGAACAGCGTCCTTTTGATCTCAAGTCATGTGCGCGGACTTCTTCAGACTACACAAACCGGACAGTTGCAGTAAAATTTATTGGTGGCGTGCCACAGTGCGCTACTAGGTACGCGATGCCACTGTCATGGCCACTGTCACCTCTCTCTGTTGTTGTCTTTGTTAATTTAATTCAAGCCCGTGGGGTTATAATGAGGAACGACCATGATTGTTCACATAAAAACAGAACGTTTTATTTTACTGCACAGGAGCCTCGTTTACAAGGAAAAATTGATGTACAAACAGTCCGACTATGTATATTTTAATATACGGCATACGTGCGTTTCTAGGGGGAAGTTGCCGTCATTACATTTACATTTAAGAATGTGCGCCTTCGTCTGAATTGCCAAAGAGTCAAAGATAATGCCCGGAAGTCCAGTTCTTTCCATTATTATTTACCTTATTCCGGTCCATTTCGGGGCCGGTTGCTTCTGCAACTGGCCAGCGCATTCGACAAAACCGTTCTTACATCATACATGTGCCACTCCAGTCTGCTAAAGCGACTTCTCTCGCCAAGGTAAATTTTGATTTATATGCGGGGTTTAACATTTCAAAACCACCATATGATTATGAGAGACGCTGTAGTGAAGGACTCCAGAAATTTCGACCACCTGGCGTTCTTTAACGTACACCCAAATCTGAGCACACAGGCCTACAACATTTCCACCTCCATTGGAAATGCAGCCGCCGCAGCCGGGATACGCACCCGCGACCTGCGGGTCAGCAGCCGAGTACCTTAGCCAGTAGACCACTGCGGCGGGGCGCCAAGGTAACTTTTACCACAGTCTGGGCTCCCCCCCCCCTCTTCTCCCTGGATGTCTGCCCCCATGTTTGTACACGACTGCACGGGTTTTTGTTCGCCAGTGATGTAGCCCCAAGATGGCACATCAAGCCCGTGCCCCCCAAATTTTTTCACATGGTGTTTAATGCACAAAATCACAGTCGACCACATCTTACTGCTCGGCTCCTTAATTCTAATCAAGGTAGTGCACTGCTCCAGAAGAACTTTCTGCCTACCCCTTTGCCACCCGCGACTTCAGCTCACATGCTTCATTGATTATATGTCTGTAGAATGGGCCCACAGCCACTGCCACTACTTCTCAATGTTGTTTTGATATACAGGCGGAAATGCGGTCAGCTTCGAAAACTGATTCATCTTCTAAAAGCTACTGAGAATTGTCACACAGCTTATGAATAGAACTTACAAAAAAAAAAAAAAAAAACACTCTTGGGCACTCGCATTTATTTTTACTGAAACATGAAATTGCCATGTAGATAAGGATACTCAAGACAGATTTTGCAGCATGTTCATTCAAGGGCCCAAAATTTGCTATGGTAATCGAGCCAGGTCGAGATCACATTTTTTAATCACGATTTACCTCTTCGTAGAATATGTAGAGTATGTATGGCGACTTGCTAACAGGCTAGATAACGACCAATTGGCGAGGCGCTTGTAGTGCCATCGGCAACTTTTCCGTTCATTTTTTTCTTTAGGGAAGGGGGGTTTAAGGCCCCCGACAACACCCTATTCTTCGGATCCACTGTTCAGTCTCAAGACTACCTCTCGGCAGGTTGCTTTAGGTTCAGTAAGTGCGAGAACTAATTCAACTACAAAGAGATTGTTTTCGAGTTTACAGTATTGCAATGCGAATTTGACTTGAAGAGACAGTGAAGCGGTTTTGCATTCGCAAATTTATTACGAATGCGGT